ATGGCATTTATACTGCAATGCCTCTGTCATATTCAAGCCTTCAGGACATGTTTACTTTAATCAGTTCTAATTAAATTGCTACATGAGAAAAATATTTAGTTCTACTGAGGTGTGTACATGTATCCAAGGGAATGCAATGCAAATTGCCCAGGATCTCATGGATTTTACTGCTGTGTTTTGCAAGTCACACCTAACTCTTCTCTTGCATTCTACTGAAACAGATTGCTCTAAATGAGAAGAAACACTTCCAAATGAAAACATTTAAAACAATGCAGCATTTACAACAAGGCCATGGCTTTGCTCCTGAGTTCTGCAGCAGTGGATGGATCTAGACTGAGCAAGTGGCTGGAGCAAGGCCCAGGCTGGCAGGGGTTAACATGTCACTGTCGAGGGAGCTGAGGGCCAATCTGGCCCAGCAGGCTATTTTTTGCACCATAAGGGCATTGCAGTAAAAAAAACTTCCTCTCTTCTGACCCCTTCACCTGGGCAGGCTGTACATGTGCAGGCCATTGCCAAGTTAGCAGGGACCCGTTTCACAGGAAGCTGAGGTCCTCAGGAAACTCCAGCCTGCAGGAACACAAGTGTCATGCGTTTCCACCTCAAACACCTCTTTTTTTTGATCATTCACGGTGCCCTCAACCCAGCCCTTGTGTGAGGGGCTGCTGTCTGAGGCAGCAGAGGCTGCAACAAGCTGTGCATGGCAAAGGCAGCTGAAATCTAAGGCCAAGAGCAGCCCCTGATGGCTTCCAGGTGGGACAGGTCCCAGCAAATCCCAACAGCCGCGGGCAGGTCACCCCCTCCTCGCCCTTCCTCTGCTGATAGGGAACCCCTCTTCAGTGTCTCCTCCTTCTCCTCAGCTTGTCACAAGGATCCAGCGTCCTGCTGCCAGCTACATCCAAACTTTTGTTGCACCAAAAGGAAAGGCAATGCATTCCATTGAGGAGCTTATGGCATTCCAAAGGGTCCCTTCGTGCCACACCACAGTGCACAAACCCAAGCAGCACACAATTGAGCAACCTGTCCAGATCCAGCTTTTAACTAACAGGGTCAGGAAACGGTGGAAAATGAGCTCTGAGATACACATATGCTGAAAGGGCGACAGTTATCACATCGTGTCCTTCAGTGTGAAAACTGCTGCAACCCTGTTACTGGAATGTGTTTGCCTTCACAGTAAACAACTCAGGCCAGGTGGAGAGGTCCTTCATACACACGAGAAATCCTTTTATTTGGGGGCTGCACACCTTTCAGAAGATGAGTCCTGAAACTGCCTACAAAAATCCTGTTCTGCGAGACAAGCTGCAGCAGCAGGAGATGAAGTTATTTGCACAAGGGACTTGCCTAAAGCAAAACAGCAGAACAACACCTGTCCCAGTCAGGAGGGCTCTCCCCTGCAAAGCTGCACATGCTCGGGGCTCTGTCCTGATACTGCTTAATTTGGCTCTCGGGGAGCTTTTCAAAGCAGGGATCACACCTGACAGGCATCCTCCTTTGTGTCCACAGAGCCCCTCAAAGGACGCTAGTGTTTGCTTATAGTGGAAGAACTGGGGCTGATTTCCATCCCGTAGCTGACCAGGGAGATAGGATGCAGCTGTATGCCCAGGGGAACCAGAGACACAGCAGCTTTCCACACATGGGGACTTGTCTGGGTGGAGAGTTTTCTTAAGGCTGAGGAAACTGATGCATCAATCAGAAATGAAGCTGATGCTGACTAAGAGGTTTTTCCTCTTCCCGTTACATCCCCTACAGCTCAAGAGGGAATTTCCTGCCTGGATGCAATCCGGAGAACCCATCCCACAACACGGATGAGTGGGAAGGAGTGAGCCCTGGCACAAGGCCTGCACCCATGCTGGCAGCATGCTTCCTCACCTGGCAGCACAGCCTCACATCTCAGAGCCAGCTGTCCCAGCAGCTGCTTCCATCTTAATTCAAATAGAGCCAATGACCCGTATTTTTTCAACACGTAAAATACATAGCTTAAATATATATATATATAAGAGAAAAAAAAAGGTAAAAAGAAAAAAAGATGCCAATAATCAAAAAACCATGTGTAGTTATGCTACTAAAACTTTCCAAGCGCAGACAAAAATAACCATGCACAACAGCCAACAACAGCTCGTCAGGGCCCTCCAGACAGTGAACACTGTCACATGTTGTGTCAACACAGGGCACTTCCAGTATTCATTATCAGTTGCACACATGCAAGCACACCCTCTTGTAAGAACACCTAGAGCATTAAAATCTTGTGCTCATTTCCAGTAATTTTCATCCAAGATTTACCCTAGCCTAGGGCTGCAATACTTGGCTGGTGTGCACTCCAGGGGTTGTTCTATTCCTGTTCAAAAGCTCACAGTCACTGGATTCATTTATTTATTATATTTTGGTAACAGAGTCACTTCTGTTGGCCCCAAGCACTTGCTGAACACAAAGGGGTAAACCGAGCTTTGAAACAGACAGCTTAAAACTCTCTCCTTAGTAACGTGGTTTTCTGAGAACCTTTTGCTCACTGCCAGTGAGCGACAATTATCTGGTGAATAAAATACATAACTGCAGCTTCAAAATCACGAGACATTTCTGAAAATATTGGATACAATCTTCAGTGTCTCTTGGGTTTGGTCCAAACTGAAAGTGACTTAAAGCGATGTCTCCTGAAGAAGGCCTGGGCAGGAGAAGACTCACTGAGATGAAAAAGTAGTCTATATGCCTATGAAAAAGGGAAAGTCCTATGCAGTAATTATTCTCAGCATTTAATCCTGCCACAATACTTTGAGTTGTGACTGCTTAGACAGCAGAACAGTAGTTTTTTGGGGTTTTTTTTTGTTTGTTTTCTGTCTCCAAACTAGTATACAAAAAAAAAAAAAAAAAGCCCCTAGGTAGAATAGAAGTATGCTCAGCAGCATATAAGGGAATGAAGCCCTTCGGCAAGCAGAAAGATTGTGCAAACTGGACCAGGGAAGGTCTACGGTACACGGGCAGTGAGGAGGACAAGGTAATGCTTTGCCTTCCAAATCCTTCTGGCTGCTAAGAGCGCTACTGCATATGTCCTAAGGCACCTGGGAGTTACCCTACCACTGCTGTAATAATTCAGCACACTGACACCATCTCTTCATCCTGGAAAACATATTATGTGAGTGGGTGCTGAACACCTACAATCATTTGAAACCTGGCACCATTTGCAACATGAGGCCAAAGAGTGGGAAACTTGCTCTAAATACCATAAAGGAAAAGGCACATTACCAGCTAGTGTAGCTATCAAGGCTATCTTTAGCCAAAGTTTAAATTCATTCACATCTCCTCAGTAGCAATACTCTGCCTTCACTCGTTTCTGTAAAACAGTCTCTGACCTAGGAACACCCCATGGCAGGATGGAGGGGAGGCCATCACAAACAGTCTCTCCAGAAAGCCACTGGGGCTGAGGCCTTCCAGTCAATTTCACCCAAACATTCCACACCCACCCATAGCAGAGGGGCTCAGAGAGCAAAAACCCTACAGTGTCCAGGCTATAAAGGGGTCTTACAGCTTTTCCTTCTTGCCAGCCCTAAGCATAACCCTCTTTGGCACTGTCACAGAACCAGAAGCAGGCACTGAATGCTCACTGAGTGCCCAGAGTGCCATAAAGGCACTTAGGAGGAGGGATGCTCTTTGCCAGATGACAAGATCTTGGGAGCTATAAAATAATAACTAAATACAAGAGCCGTGTGGTGGAGGAAAAGGGCCAGTTAACACTCTGCCTTTAAATTGCAGCTGGCACAAATCAGCAAACTTCAGTGACTGCTACAGCAAAGAGTCAGTTCTCTTCTTCCCAGTTGTGTTTGTTTCAGAAGCACAGTGGGAGGACTGCTGGGAGAGAAGTGCAAGGGGCAGCTGGATTGGATCTCCCCTGACAGCTCCTCTCCTGCTGCCTTCCCTACAGCAGGCACTTGTAGCAAGGCTGGTTTGATCTAGGGCCTGCGTGTAGCTGACCCAGCCCTAGATAGCACCGCTGGCTCTCTGTGGGCTCCTTGAGGCCGCTGATCCCTTCCACAGCATCAGGCTGGTTTAACCGGTGGAGCAGCACATCTCCTCCTGACAGTGCTGGAGTCAGCAGAAGCCTGGATGGGAGCGTAATGCAGGGATGGGCACTCTCAAAGCAGACAGAGACTCTGTAAAGGTTGTGGAGCTGTTGGCTGTGCGGAGATTGCACTGTCCAAATTTCACCCAGAAGTAACTTCTTATGCGTGCACACAGAGTACAGGAACAGCATCTGGTGCGTGCAGCCGTGCTCAGGGTGTGCAACAGCACTGCGTGCTCAGCCTGAGCACTCGAAGTGCACTGCTGCAGTGGGGTGGCATCACCAACCTGTCTATGGGAAAAGGAGCTGGGAACAGCCCTGCCATGTCCCCTCAGCCCACATTGTAGCCAAGGCAGAGGTATTCACTGTAAATACAAAACCTGGGATTTAAGTGGGGGAAAGGGAAAAGGAAGAAAAGAGAAAAAGAGGGAGGAAAAGGAGAAGAAAGAAAAAGAGAGAAAAAGGTAAAAGGAAAAAATAAATAAAAAGGAAAAGAAACTTAAAAGAAATGAAAAGTTTAAAAACGGAAGATAAAAAGAAGGAAAAAGAAAAGAAAAGAAAATGAAAAAGAAAGGAAAAATGAAAAGAAAGGAAAAGACCCACTCTGCTCTCTTCCCCACCCAAAGCATTCCAGCCTTTCCTTTCCTGCCACTTGAGAGGGGGGTTGTTTATTGACATTATGCAAGTGCTGAAATATTTTTCTTTTTCTGCTCTCCCGTCTTTTTTTTTTTTAGAACTTTTTTTAAAAAAAAAAAAAATTTCTACCCCCACCCTCCTCTGGGGGTTGCGAAGGTAGTTCAAACCCCTCCAGCCATCTCGGCTTATCAGTCGAGGGAGATGCATTCCTCAGGGCTGCTCCCTTTATAAGCCGCCGCCGGCCGCCCGCGCGCCGCTCCGCAGCCCGCGCAGTTCCGCGCCCTGCCATGCCCTAACCTGGCCCAAAGGACGCGCGGCAGCGCTGGGAGAGCCCGGCGGCGATGCCCCCCCGGCGCTGAGTCGCGCTGCTGCCGGGATGTTCGCCTGGCACCGGAGCTTTCCCCTGGGAGCGCCCTGGAAGAGAGGTGAGCCCGGCCGCCCCGCGGCACACCCCTGGCCCCGCTCCTCCTTCCCTAAGGGTACTTAGGGCTGCCCGGCCCGGCCCGCCCCGCTCCCGGCCCGATGCTGCGCTCGCTGTTCTCCGGCTGCCTCTGTCCCCACGCAGGTAAGGCGGCAGCGAGCGGCCCGGGCTGCGGAACCCGCTTCGCTGCCCCTCAGAAAGAGGCTCGGCTCGTAAGCGCGGATGGGCTCGGGAGGGAGCGGGAGAGACGGGAGAGCCCTGACTCGAGCGGGCTGCGGGGCCACGGGGGCACGGTGAAAGAGGGGATTAGCATCTGTAGAGGCTGTGCGCGCTTTTATCTCCGCGGGCATTGTTGTGGCTTTGCACGGACGTGAGGCAGAGCAGGTCTGCGTGCCTGCCGACGTGCCGGCGATGGGCACCTCCTCGCTGTCGGGGCTGGCGCATCCCCATCCAACGCAGATTATCGCGGCTCTGAGAGGTTTTGCTCGTTCCCTTCTGTTCAGTATAGACGAGGTGAGGCTGGCAGAGAGGCTGTAAGCTGGTATGCTCTTAGTCTGCTTGTTTCAGGCACGCGTGGTTGGGTACGTTATATCCCTGCAGCAATTCAGCAGGCTTTGAGACTGCGAACCCAGGCAGCGGTATCCCCTTTGCACCTCAGGGTGCCCCTCAGCTGGAAGCACGGTCTGTGACTTTCATCTACTCTAACATCACTGCACGGGTTCCATTTGCTTGGCACAGAGGTGGCTGCAAACACTCTTCCAAAATTTAAGCGTATTGTGCTGCACAACAGCAGGATGGTAAAGGCGTGCGAGATGCTGCACTGGAGTGATTCTGCTTCCAGGGGTCTTCACCTCCCACCTGCACACTAAGCTGTGGGGCCAGTAGGCATCACCTCGATGCAAAGGGCTGGCTTTAGCAGCAAGCTAATCAGCGCTGCTGCTAGAGCACACCAGCATCACCACAAGATGAGGAGAACGCTTGAAAACGTACATTTTTACAGAACAGGGGAAATCGCTTTTCCTCCTCCTCTGTGCATTATTTGGCCACAAACTTGTTTCCTCAAAGCAGTATAGAGCAAGTCTATAGGTGAAGGTCCTGATGGTAGCAACAGACTTACCACACAGGGCACAGAAGAATTAAAAGAGGCTCAGCTAGGAACAGTGAGGGCACTTGCTAGTCACATCATCTGGAAAGAAGCATCAAGTATGACTTGCATCCTGGTTTGGGCCCCAGCTCCATGCAGAAGGAGCCAAGAATTTGCTGTTCCTTGCAAGCTCTGTAGCAAGAACTATGAAGTTGCATTCCAAATGCAGCTCCCAAGGCAGAATACAAACTAAACAATGATTTTAGAGATGCTGCTCAGTAGCAGAGGTATAGGCTGGATCTGACTCCCTTTTTTGAAAAACTGTTGTAACAGGTGGAAGAACCTCATATCAGCAAGTTCAGTCCAATGCAGTTGCAGAAGTCCGCACATCTCCTCATCATCATTTCAGGGGAGGTTCAGGATGGAGATTAGGAAAGATTTCTTCTCAGAAGTAGCAGTGTACTGGCACAGGCTGCCCAGAGAGGTGGTGGAGGGTCACAGTCCACGGAGGCGTTCAAGAAACGTGGAGGTGTTGCACTGAGGGACATGGTTAGTGGGCATGGTCAAGGTGGGTTGATGATTGGACTAGATGAGCTTAGTGGTCTTTCCCAACTTTAATGAGTCTATGATCTCTAGCCCCAAGGAGAGCAATAAAATAAGGAGTCCTTGCCATCCACATTGTCCCTATGTAAGATTTCTGATGTACTCTTCAGTACATTTATGCTTGTCTGCCGCTTCATTGTTTGAGCTGAAGCAGCTCTCCAAGGTTTTGTCTGGGGACAGAAATGACTGCCCAGGAAGAACAGGTTAATAGCCCCAGCAACCTTTCTGACATAATTCATGAGTTCTTTTGACTTTAGCAGAAGCATTGGGGTCTTAATGGCTTCAGTCCATAGAGCTATTGAACAACTGTTTATCCAAGCTTATTATAGGCAATAAAACCTGAATTACTGCATACCTGTCATCCCTGGGGGGCAAGTTCCATCCCTGCAAAGGGCCTCCTGTCTCCCTGCACATTTCTGGCTGAATATACCTTATGACATGAGGTAGCCTGCAAATCAGATGAGCAAGGGAAGTAGCTTCTAGATTAAGCAGTTTTGCCCAGGTGTTTTCATTTTCTGCTCAGACACATTAGCATGCTGCATGTTAGATAACCAGTTTGATTGCTCTTATACTCAGCTGTTCATGAAATACGAAGTTAAAAAATAATTACACAAAATGTTGCTGTAAAGGATTCTGGCCTGTGCTCCCTCCATTGCACTCCTACATGAAGGGACACAGGACATATTGGTGGTTGTCACAGCTCTAAGGATGCAAAAGTCAGTGATGAGGGGGTGATGCTCTTTAGCTGGTGCTATGAGTAAGGTCAGGTGCCAGCCCCTACAGGCACCCAATGAACCAGGTGGTCTATGGGGACCTGCCGTGCCGCAGGACTTTCTGCCAAAGGTCACTCAGTTATCAGACAGTCGCTCTGTTTCAAAAAAAACTTCACTGGTCACTCGGAATGAATAGAAGCAAGCAATAGAAGTGTCAAGTGGCCTCTCTACTTGGGTAAACTAAAGAGGAAATGGTTTTCCATCTATATCCATCAGTAAACAATCCATCTCCCTCTCATTGCACCTCAAATGCCTGAAAACAATTATAATTATCTCCTTCCCTACTAAAACATACATATTGAAGTGCTGATGCCTCCTCAGAGTCCTTGAATTCTTATCTTTCTCTCAGCATTTATTCTATATGGAATTATCATTACCTGCTGCAGCTCTGGGGTTATCCATAACCTTTCAGGTCATACAAGATTACCAAACCACCATCCAGAGGAATTATCACATTGTATTAGCAAACTACAATCCAGAGGGACTTCAGACACAAATGATAGCGAGACCGGGGAGCACTGTGGATCAATCCAAGAACTTTCTGTTCAAAGACTGTCCAAGACCTCAGCTTTGTTATGCTTTTTCCTTTGCATCCAGCATTTCAAATGAATCAGCTGTATATGTACATACATGCATTTAAGTTCTCTAATGAATATAAATGCAAACTCTAAGAAATAGGTCTATCACGCAAACATCCAGTTACCACATGGGAATGCATTCCTCTGCAAATATGAGTTTTCCTCTCACAATCCCTCTGTTCCCCACTCCCCCTCTACTGCTTCCCCAAAAAAAGCTGCCCTTGCAGGTGGAGGCTGTAACTGGTACACTGAGACCCGAAGACCTCCATAAGCTTCCCCAGAATTTCTCATGCTCAGAATTGTCTTAACTGCATAGGAAACCACAGTGGGCTCATCTGTGCAACAGCCCTCTGTACCCATGAGACTGTGCAAGGTACAGGACAGCCACTGCCCAGCTACAAAAGTAGTAGCTCCTGTGCACCCTGCAGCAGGGCCAGCACTGAGAAGTAGGTGACAACCCAACCTAACCCCTAGAACACATGGTGGAAGAGTCAGCAGCAAAAAATGCCTATTGTTTCAGAAAGGAAGTGACCCTTTTCTCTTAAATGCTGGGAAATTGAGACCTCATCATCGGCAAGGAAAAAAATGTCTTTGCAGTGAAAGGGAAATGCCACCTGAGCTGTGCAGCCAGCAGTGTTAGGGAACACAGAGGCAACAGAACTAGAGGGAGTTTTTTTTTTTTGGGTTTTTTTTTTTTTTTGTAAAGGAAGGAAGGAAAATGAGGGAATGCAAGGGCTGAGTGGGAGAGGCAGCCTTTTGCTTCTAGGTCATGAGAGTGACTGCAGCTCACTAGTCACTGCTGCCTTGTGACTCTCTACAAGTCTGTATAGGGTGATCACTTCTTACTGTACTTGGAGACCCAACTCCATCACAGAACTGAACCTTTGGCACAATTGGAGCCAGAGATGGGTCACCAAGCAAGCTGCACAGTTCCAAAAAACCTTTCTATGAGGTTTCACAGGCACATCTTTGTCCTGTGCTCAGGGCACAGTGGTGCGATTTGACTTCAGCCTCCCTTGGAAGGGTGGCTGTGCAAAATTCTTGATGTTCCAATAACCCAAGCCACTGATGATGCTCTCTATTTCCTATGCTCTGTTCCTGTGGCACACTACAGCTAGGGACTACCAGCCTTCTGGGCACAAGTCCAGAAAGTGCCAAGGGTCACGTAGTAGGAACAGGCACCTGAGCATCTCAGGACTGCTCACCTCATGCTTCTGCCTGGGATTGCCACCCCAATAACCCTGCTAGCACCACATGGAGCAGACAGGTTCACTGTGTACGTGAATCTTGCAGCACTTCTGGGGCCAAACAGAGGGCTCTGGTGGCTCTCACGCTGCTATCACTTGCAACACAATGGCCAATTGAGATAAAGAAAGCTTGGCTCCGGCTAGATCAGTCACTGTGAACATTTAAAACCGATTCTCCCCTTGCCAAGCAATCCACAAATCAGAATGAACGTTTTGAGAAGATGGATGAGCACAGACCATAAGGGAGGAGAGCAGCACAGGGCAACACCATATCAAGTAGTTCATTTGCATGACACCAGCTCCTCAGGAAGCTCCATGCTGCCACTGGCAGCACTCTAATGTCTCTTCCACCTCCAGTCCTTTTATTAACCAGATAACGCTGTGATGCAATACTCGAGTCAGTACATCAGAGACCAATACACAGATCACAAGAGAAAAGACGTGACCTGGACTTCAAATGCTTTGGAGTATGGGGATTTAAATAAAGTCTGTTTAGTAGAAGGGTGGGGGCTTTTGCAGGAGTTCAGTCTGGGCAGGGCTGGGATTGCCCTTGTTTTGGATTACTGGGCAAGTGTTTCTCTTGCACAAAACTTACTTGGGTTAAAGAAAATGCTTGAAAGCACTTCCATGCTTACACACTCATCCTCCTTCCTTAGGTCAGAATTGTCTGTATTAATGTACTGGGCTGTGCCCTGGCAGCTGCTGGTTATTATGAAACAGGAAAAATGCACTTGGACTTAAACTTCCAAGGAAAGGAAAACCTCAGAACAGCAGCAGATGTGAGGATTTAAACTTCTCTGCCAGGCTTTGCTATCTGTCAGAGGAGTATCCTAGAAAGCAGTTTGGAAATATAGAAAAATAACATTCAAGGGATTCAGCTGAGATACACCGGTTCCTTTCTCTCCCTACCAATTACCTGCAAATATCGGGTAGTGCACTGTTACCACCTCCTCATTAGGTGGGAAGCAGCCTTATCCTCCAGCTCTTCCATTGCAGGAAACCCAGCAACTTGCCCAAGGTTATACTTCATCAGTCACTGTCAGCTACTGGCTTACATTACAACCCAGGGAATCCTGTTTATCTCTGGTGCAATTACAGAGCCATATAACCCCTCGAGAGGGCTGCTAAGAAAACAGCACAAGTTCACCCAAGACAACATTTGACCTGGGTGCTGCTTTGGCAATGTTGCCAAAGGTGCTGCAGGAAGCCATATCATTTCTAAGCACACACGCAGCTCTATTCCCCATAGCATCACCACACCAGCACCTCAGCCACGTGTCTGAAAGCAGCATCTTCTGGTACCTTACACACACCACTTCTGGGGTGTGGAAAACCAACCCAGGGCAAAGGAAACAAAACATAAAGAAGCCTTGGCTGTTCTCCCAGAGAGCAGTCAGCATCAAACCTGGCCGGCCTCCAGCACAAGTAAATTCATCTTACCAGCCTTAATGCTGCCCTTCTGTTCTCTGAAGTGCTTCACACCTTCTTTCAAAGCGCTGCACAGCTCTGTAACTCTAGCCCTGCAGCACGCTCCACCAGCACCCAACAGGAGGCCACCTTCCCAGCTTTGTATTGTTTGTTGATTGCTATTGTATAAATACTTACACTTACAATCTAGACCCCTCAGCTCAAAGCACCTGACACAACCTTACTAAGGCCATTGCTAATGGGTTAATTTATAGCAACTGAAGGCCTGTTTTTTTTTTCAGTTGCACAGGTGAACATTAATTACACCCTTCTGGTGTTTATTGGCAAGGCGTTTGAAAGAGCTGAATATTTCTGTATGCTTCTTTCAGGATCTGTAGCAGAAACAATCTACGTTTTGGGAGGCCCATGGTGTAGACTCTATAACTCATTTATATAAAGGAAACTATTCCTTAAGAGAGGTGAAGCAAGAACTTGAGTTTCAGGTTGCTGCCTTAATCATGGATGATGTCTTTGCTGTTGCACAGCTGACCTCACTGACCACAGGAAAGTATCACTGAATGAATGAGGATCGGCTGCTTAGATGTCTTGCAGAATCCAGCCATCCTTTGCATCCATTCTGAGCACATGGTGCAAGATAACATTTTGCATCATTATCATAAGGGGCTGGGAGCATAACTCAGCTGTGTTCTAACACTGTGGTTACTGGGACCTGTCAGTGCCAGGACCGACAGTTTGCAACCTACACCAGACAAACAAGAAACCGTGGTGAAACTGGTTCGTATTACACGGGCTACAGGATGGGAAAAGCAAGGCACTGTGTTGTCCGCAGAACTTTCTCAGCTCTGGAGCTGGTGGTACTGAGGGGACCTTCTCATTGAGTGTCAGGAGTATAATTTCTTTTTAGTTTCTTTATGCCCTCATCAAACTTTGTGGTACCACATGGTAGTCATAGATGATACCGATTATAGCATCTAACATCTTCTGTAAGCAGCAAGACCTCATGTTAATATGCTGCTTCCTGATATCAGACAAAGAAATACTTGTGCAGGCCACAGTGAACCGGTTAAGCAAGGAAAAAAAGGCAGATTGAAAGACAGTGAGAGGATCTCCAATCAAATGAAAGCATGGCATGATTAGTAAGAGAAGGCAGTCAGCGTCTCTGGGAATGGTCTGTTACTGCATACAGTGATTCCTGGCAGGAATGACAGCTGCATTATTTCTTCTTAAAAAGAAAACACTGCACAGCAAATGCTTTACTCCTGATTCTTAGTGAATGTTGTGCCACAAGGGGCAATGATGGCATCCGAAGGGCCTGCAAGCCTTTTATTTTTCAAGCAAATTCTGCACCCTGCCTCTGGCTGCAGAGAGGTGCTGGCAGCTGAGCAAGCAGTTGCTTTTCACTCTGAAGCAGTAACGGCTCAACTCCAGCACCTCCCTCCAGGACCTGGCACCAAGGTCCTCCTTACTGCTGTTGTTTTTGCTCACTCCTTGTCCTCAGCTCAGGGTCCACTATGCTCATCCCAAAAGGAGGTGCCTTGTTACCCAGCCCAGTGCAGCAGCTCCTGATGAGCTTTCTGTGGCTTTTCCATGGGCAATGTCTTTTTCTGGCTGCCTATCACAGCAGTGTGCTGGTGTAGTGTAGCTGGCAGGCTGGTGCTGTCTCAGATGCAGCTCTTTGCAGTGGAGAGATGCCTGAGAATGCTTCCAAGGGAGGCGAGTACAAGTCTGTATTGGATAAACAAGGTCTTTTGTATGGGCTTAAAAGCACTACACACCCATAGAAAGTCCCAAAGAAACCCCATCAGATATGATCCTTCATCACTCTCAGCCCTTTTGAAAATCCAATGTAAAATATTAAATGTATGGCTGCATATGAGCAGTGAAGGGCATGTTTCAATTGTGTCCTGAGAAATTCTTAAGATCAAATAAAAGGAGTATTTAAATAAAGTAGAAATTGACTCACGTAATTGCTAGCCTGGCATTAATGAGTAAAATTCTCCCTTGTCTGCAGAAGGCAAGCTGGAGGAGGGAAGGCTGGAAAACGGGTTATTTTGGAAACAGGGATTTTTCTGGGTTGCCATGAAGGAAGGCTGCACAGCAGAGCTCTCCTCACTGCCTCCAGCGGGGGGTCCTCACCTCTTCTACCTGCTTACAGACTGCCATGCTGCCAGGCATGAGTTTCTGAAGCAGCTGTGGGCTTGGTGAAAAGGAAGGAAAGCAACAGAGGGGAATTACAGGAAATGAAGGAGGAAGTAAGACATCCTCATGAGTGTGTGCATGGTAGCCCTCCGAGGTGCCCTGGGTCACAAAGTAATAAATGAGAAAGCATCAAAGAAACTGAAGTTTTGTGCTTCAGCGTTCGTGCTACCTCTTGTAGCAGACACCAGAGTGAAGCAAAACTGCACTCTGAAATGTGAGATCCAGAAAAGCAGTAAGAAAACCTGGGGAAAATCTCCGGCTTGTGCAGATCAGCCTTTCACCCAGAGACTGTTCTACACTTCATCCGCATCACTGCGTGAGATAATCACAATGTGAAAATAAGCCCTCTTTGTTCACGTGCAAAAACTAATGAACAAAGCTACTCCCACATCCTTTCTCTTTACAAGGAAGGAAAGAGTTCATTTGGAAATGACTTCAGAGCTAACACCATACAGAGAGTGAGAAAGTCCTATAGTGCCTCATTTACTTTTCCTATCACTACTTGCTTATCATCATCAGTACGAGTGCAGAGCACTGCTAATCAGTTTGCAAATTACTTGTTGCAACCAGGAATTCACTCAAATCTGCAGAAATAGATTTGGTTTTGTCCTTTTTTTTTTTTTTTTTTTTTCTTACTGCTGCTTCAGAATACATTTAATCAGGAAATTGTCTATCTTGTGTTCCCCTGCGTCTGTTTGCAATTAATGACCAAAAAAAAAAAAAGAAAAATCATCTGACTACATGCATTGTTTTCTACCTACCTATTAAATCAGAACTCTGTGTGCATTTATGACCCCCATGAAGGACTTCAGGTCTATGAAACACAATACTTTTGTTGTAGCAAAGTCTAAAGAAAGCTGTATACAGCTCAAGAAAAACAAACCAGACCAGGGCTGCCCCCTTCTGCAATATTACTGCAGACAGCTTTCCATTCACATTCCTCAGGCGATGGGCTGTAGATTAGATTGAGTTTGCAGTCTCTTGTGACCTTCTGCTTGTTTTCCTTTACACAGGTAAGAAGAGTCCACCTGCTGAGGACAAAGTAGTGCTAACACATATGAAGATATTGAGCAATGAAGGAATTCAGAACCCAGGGCTAGTACCAGAGGCTCCTGCTGATGCAGCCTGCACTGAGGAACCCCATCTCCCCAGCACGAATTTCCCACAGGACTGCCAGGGATGTCCAAATGCCACAGCCATAACAGCAGACACAGACTATGCAGAAGCCCCAGCAGGCACAGATTATGTAGCCACGCTGCCTGACCTCAGCAGCTTTGAGTCCAAGTGCCGCCTTCACAGATTCTCCAAATTTGAATCTGAGGACTCAGGAGTTGAACTGCCAAGCGGAGCTAACTCTCCATCAACGCCAACGGGCTCAGAGAAGAGCTTTGTTCTTCACAGCAGAGACTCATTTTGTGACTCAGGTGTGCTTAGCACCTCATCTTCTCCAGAAATTGACCACCTGATAATGAGAGCATGTAAAGAACATTCCAGGAAGGTTGGCCAGCAAGGTGTGGAGAGTGAAAAGAAAGATGAGCTCTATAGCCAGGAGTCAGATGTTGTGGAGGTTCCCACACCTTCCCTTGAAGACTTCAGTGTTCCTCAGGAAGGAGAAAATCCTGATGAGCATTTTGACCAGAGTGAAAGGCAATCTCTGGAAAAAGAACCATCCCCAGAGACGAACTCCCCCACAGAGAGCACTCTTCCCACCCCAATTCCCATAGAGAAGCCAAAAACAATTGCTGACAATTACACAGAGACCTTTGGCAGTACACAAGACCTTCAGCTCCACGGACATCAGCTGAAGAAGTACCCCACAAGTGACAGTCTGGACGAATACATGAATGAATGCTGTAGACTGAGTGAGGTAAGAAATGCACCTAAACTGTATCTTATAGTTAGGCTTCTCTAAATATCACAGAATCACAGAATTGTAGGGGTTGGAAGGGATCTCCAGAGATCATCGAGTCCAACCCCCCTGCCAAAGCAGGTTCCCTACAGTAGGTCGCACAGGTAGGCATCCAGGCAGGTCTTGAACATCTCCAGAGAAGGAGACTCCACCACCTCCCTGGGCAGCCTGTTCCAGTGCTCCGTCACCTCACTGTAAAGAAGTTCTTGCGCACATTTGTGCGGAACTTCCTATGCTGCAGTTTCCGGCCGTTTCCCCTTGTCCTGTCTCCACTCACCACTGAAAAGAGTCCGGCCTCACCATTCTGCCCCCCACACCTTAGATATTTATAGACCTGGATCAGGTCCCCTCTCAGTCTTCTCTTCTCAAGGCTGAACAGACCCAGTTCACTCAGCCTTTCTTCATAGGAGAGATGCTCCAGGCCCCTCACCATCTTTGTGGCCCTCAGTTCTGCTGTCCATAACAAATTATGAGACATTTGAACTAACAGTAAAGTCCATTTCAAAAAGCTTTAGATTAGAGGATGTGCTTATGTTTGTTCTTAAAATGAAAACTGTGAAGTAAGTTATCCTGCAGAGCCACACTGCTCTGTTAGCTGGGGTGGGAGCAGAACAGGGTTTCAAAGTCAAGTTATTCCTGTTTCTGGGAACAGCTGGCTGGCTGTTGAGGCTCCAAAGTTTGGAGAAAACTTGTCTGAGGGGCAGTTCATTCTGCCCAGGCCTGGATCTGGCTCAAGAGTCAGTTCTCAAGTAGTGAGTGAACAGCAAACTAATGCACAAATGCAAATCTTTGCTGGGAGCTTCCATTTTACTTTACTGGAACAGCCGTGATGGAAATTCTTGTGTTCAGAGACCAACTTAATTGCAAAGAAGTAATTTTTTCAGTAACTTGTACTACTTCAAACTCATTCCTTTCCCATTGCTGGGTACACTGTGCAATGAATAGGAGAATAAAAAGCCGCCTGAGTACCTGCTCCACACTAAATGCTGGCAAGTGCTCAGGCCAGATCTTTGCCTGGAGTGCACACAGACATGCTGACAGATTGTGAACCTGCCTGCCATTGTGGCTTCCAGGAGCTAGCAACAAAAAGTTAACTCTCACTGCAAGTTAATACCTGAGTGAGAGCCAGAACAGAGAGCCCAGTAGGCAGAAGGAAAGGAGAGGGCAGGCTAAGTACCAGCGGTCACCAAACAGTGCATAGTGGGGGCTTTTCAGAACGTACAAGGTGCTTGGACCCCTCTAAAAAGTAATTCTCAAGAGCAGTACCTGTTGGAGGCTCCAGAGAGTCAGTCATCCCATGTCACACACCAGGCCTGGGGATGCTGCCTATATCATCAGAATGTGGGGCTGTGTTACCATGGTGAGTCCACGCGTGGCTTCCCATCTGGGTAACAAGATGAATTGGAAAAGGGAGGCAGGAGGGAGCCAAGAGACATGTGCTGTGCATGTAACAAACATATTTCACCATGACCTCCCTGGCCAGGCACAGACTCATCAGTCGGCCAGACCTCCCAAAGCAGTGAGGAAGGTCAGAGATGGCCCCATAGCTCAGGACCACTGCCCTTAATATTCACATCTGGGCAGCACAAGCAGATCACAATCAAATGGAGTGTCCTTTTCCTCACCAGAGCCACCTCGCACATTCTTGTGAAGTGAGTGACTTTGATGGTTCCCAGACAGTGGCCTGGCCTTTTGGCTGGGAGCTCAGAAAGGACTGGAGCAGCAGACTTCGAATACAAGGAAACTTTTTATAAAGTTACCTAAATTCTCTGTCGCTCTGGAGGGTTTGCAGGTAGCTTGATCTTGTCTGACAGCTTTGGCTGCCCATGAAATTCCTTTAAATCCTTTGTGAAGCCAAGCCTCAGTTTCCCAAAGCAGACCATTTAAATAAACAAGAGAATAAATTAGAAAGAGACTGAAGAGGAAATGAAGCTCTTCGTGGCTTATCTCCTCTCCTTTTTAATATCCTCACTGGCTGAGTGCTGAAGCTCTGTGCCCCAGAGCACTTCTCTGTGTTTGTTTTTGGAGCAGTACAAATACAGCTGTGACCTGGACACTGGGGAAGCCTGCCCCCTGTCACAGAGCACCTCTGGGCTGCTCTATCTCAGGAGCAGCACTCTGCTAACTGCTGGGATGCCAGCAGTGCCCAGGCTATCTGGGGCAACAACAGACCAGGGCTGCTGCTGTATTTGAGCCTCAGAGCATGAGGACAGCAACGACAGAGCTTTGTGCCCTCACTAAACCTGCACAATGTTGTCCCGTCCTCACTGTCATGCAGTGCAGGCAGGACACTGTGTGATCCAGACTGATCTATCTGTACAACTGATGGATGCATCTTGGTTTGCCCCAGCTGAGGCCCTGCTCCGTGCTCACTGGAGTTTTCACATGCTCCTGTCACCTGTCTGAAATGTGACTTAGAAGCCAACTCTTGTCTGTGTCCCTAAGACCACTCCAGGCTTGACATCTCTGGAAACACAGTCAGTGTCATCTGAAAGACAACAGGCCAGTACATGGAATTCCCACTCTGCTTGGCAAAAAAACATGCCCCTTCCAATTAATTCCTAATGCATTAATTCACTTGGAGTTTCCCCAGCCCAGTTGGCTGTGGTATTGCCAGTGGCTCTGAGCTTACCATCAAGCGAGGATGCAGCCTGGATGAGGACTTGATATCCTCCAACCTTGCTGCTGAGGCTGCTTCACAGAAACATGAGGGAAAGTGCTGGAAAAGAGCGACTGGAAAAGACAAATGTTTTGATGCTTTGGATTCATTTGGTGAAAGGTTTTGGTTGAAAATATACATCACATCATTTCAGTCTGGCATTTCTTAAACAAAGCGTTCTGATCTTCTGTTTTGAACTGGCGTTATTTTGAAATTTGCCTACATTTAAAAAGATGAAAGAGTGTGGAAGCTGTTAAACAACAAGAGAACTTTGAAGGCTAAATAAAAGCATTTCCTTTTAAGCCAAATTAAATGTTTTGGGTCAGTTTGAAGATACTTAGCTTTTGATGCTTTTGCTTTGCAAACACTTCCTCACACTCCATAAAGTTTACATTTAAAGTCAGCCCAGGCCCCTACAAGAAGAGAGAGGGAGGGAACGTTGTCGTCATTAAATGAAAAAAAAAAAGCCCATTAATCACACAGCACTAATTATCCTTGTCCAAAGAAGTCAAACTACTTGTCAGTGGAGAGGAGAAGGGTTGAGGGGAAGGATAGGGCAAGCTGTGATGCTCTGCCCATAGCCTGTGCGTGCCGCGCGCAGGAAACCAGAAGCTATCAGCAGTGCAACCACTCGTGGACATCAGGGTGGAGTGATCAGAAATATACAGCATGATCCCTCACTTTCCTGTTATTCACAAGCCTCAGGGTGCTGTCAGCTCCCACTGACAAATGCTTCCCGCTCTGCCTATGGCGTCACCAATCAGTCGCTCCAAGCCCATGATGTGCAGCATGTGATTACATTCCTTTGCCTTTGTACAGGCCCCGTGCTCCATCCTTGCTCGCCATGCTGATGGGGTGGAGGAAAGTGGATGGGGATTTCTGGAAGGACAGAGCACTGTTCTACTCAAAATTGTTCATGGGAGAAAGCAAAGAGTCTGGTAAACAACTGTCTGTCTTGCAGCTCCCACTGGCCTTCATACCTCAGTAGTGCAATAAGATAGAGCAACTCCAGTGACTTTGGAGGAAAAGCATGATTTTACACCAGCCAAAATATTGACCAGAGAGCTCCAGATAAGAGCTGCAGCTCCCAGTGCAGGCACTGATCCTGTATTTTTAGGCTTCCCAAGGAATTCGTGAGCTAGCAGAACTGTGAGGATTTATTGCTGAGGAGGGCTACACCTGCTGAAAACCCATCCCCAAAACCTAGTCAGGTGAGCACTCTCAAGGGCAGAGATCTCACTCCAGTTTCCCTTCAATCCACACGGTCAAATTGTTAGTGAGAACAACTCAGCACAGTGGGGTTGAGACCTTGCCATCCTTTTCTTCTTTCTGAGAGTGTCTTTCAGTTTGACGTGCCCGAAAGAAAAAGCTGGCACAATTTATACATTATTGTTCCCTATTCTAACTTTAACCTTCCGATTTGTAAGCTCTACCTGATCCTCTGCATCTTTATATTAAGAAACACAGGTTTTATGCACCCAAAAATAGGTACATGGCTTTTGTTCGAGTACTATTTAGCAATCCTCAGTGGGGAATGGGAAACATTTCAGCCCCGTGAGATGAATGTTTCGGGAAGCTTCATCTGAGAGGACAGACAGAAAGGGACTCCTCCTGGAAAATGTTTGCAGTTTTCCTGTGGTTGCTCCCCCACAACTTCAAGCATAAAACTCTGATAGGTGCTGAGAGGAAAATATTTATACCAATACGTGACAGAGCAGGTTCTGTACGCAGCACAGCCAGAAGATAGTGAGGGATGTGTAGGCGTTTCCAGTCCATGGAAAAAAAGTCCTGGAAGGGGCCCTGGAGAGGCCCTCTCTGGGCAAACATTTTTGGGGGCAACCTGCCAAGTTACACAAACTTTCTGTATTGAATGCCCACCACATCTGAGCAATCCTACCGCAAATGGGCCTTGTGGGAGGGCACAAAAGCTGAAGCTCTCCCTTCAAAGCTCTTACTCTTGTGTGCTACCTACTGAGATGGTTGGTCCTGCAGGGGTGGGCAAGCACTGCAGGCTCTGCCTGGTTGGTCGCCTTCTCACTCCTTTGCACCTGCTGGGATCATGGCAACAAAACACAAATTAATTTGCTGTTCAATAGCCTGAAGTTCCTGATCTGGGCACTCTGAGGGATGGCTACAGAATGGGATCCTCCAGTATATTATACCCAATGTGGTTTAGTTCCTCCACAAGGGTGAATCCCCCTTGCTACAAGCCTGGAACAAGTACTCTACCCCTTTTCCCTCTTTTCTTTTGGGATGGGTGACCTCTGTCCTGCCACTTCTCCTCCGGGTGCTGCTGAGAGGGACACAGAGCTCAGGAAGGCAAATGGCCAATGGAGACTTGGAGTCACAGTGGATTTTCATACCATTTCATGTGACCTCTGTCCCAGCTTCAGACACAAAAACATCTGGACATAATAACGCCTATTTATAAACAACATTGTATCATCATTTGTTTAAAAAGAAGTAAATCCTAATGCTGATTATTTTTGAACACACCATGAGCTTTCTGACATAATGAAAAGACAGGAAGAGTCCTAAGGCTGGCATTTCCCCAAAAACGTAGATTGTTGTGGGAAAGGAGAGAGTAGGCTTCCTGCTTTTGTAGAGGGAACTTTTTTTTTTTTTTTTTGAAGGTAAACTTACAGCACCGCTTTTGTAAAGATTGAGGCTTATTTTACTTACTGACATCAGATGCACAGCAGCAGGCAGCGCCAAGGTGGAAGAGAGCCTCTGTGTGCATTTGTGAGCACTGCATCCAGCGGTGCCCTGCCCACGTGAGGGGAAGCCCTGGGGCAGAGGCTACAGGCTGGGCATGGGGAGACGCTGCAGGTCCTGGGTGGGCAGAGAGCAGCAGTACAGCCTACTCGTGGCTCATGCTTTTCTGCTGACGCACAAACACTGCGAAAATCTGCTCACGGACAGCAACACAGGCAATCCTTTTCATCAAAAATCACACCACCTCCTAGCGCCCAGTCCCAGGCAGCTGCTGTGCCTTGAGCTCAGCTCCAAAGAGACCAAGCTGAAAGCACACATTTCCAAATGGGCGACTCGTCATTCTGAAAGAACTACAGCACAGTAAAACTCACAGCATTGCAATGTTTCTCTCCAGTACTGATCATTTTTGCCCGTGCTCTGATAAAAACATTTTAAGACCAGTTGATGCCACACTTACAGAACATCCTGACAAAGCTATATTGCAGACTTGGGCCAGCAGACTTCCTTAATATCTGAGAAAATGGCATCTGGGTTCTACTAAACTGGGAAGATGTTGTTCACAAGATGCAGATCGATTCAGGTACATGCGTCTGCAAAGAGCAGGCTGGGCTCCCAGATGCCAGTAAGGGTTGCTCTGCCATCTGTGGCTCAGGCTGTTTTGTCATTGCAGGTGAACCAAGGGAACAGCAAAGCCCTGGGATCTGGCCTGGGATACCTGGAACACATTTGCCAACTGATTGAGAAGATTGGGCAGCTGCAGGAGCACAACCTGCGGCTCCAAAAGCAAGTCTGCAGCTTACAGAAAGAGCAGAAGATGAGCCAGATAAAAGAGGTAAGCAGACAGCGTAGAATCTTTCATTAAATGATATACTCAAGGCCCATATGGGAAGTCTCCAGCCCATCTGAGGGATGATGCTGATTTTACTTGACCACCTGGGCTGGTGCTCTGCTCTTTAGGGAGCCCTTGCCCTCCATGGTGAGCTCAGTTTCTCTTGGGGTGGTCTTAGATTTCTCTTCTCATCCAGTTTTGTTTCTCAGATGCCCTAACTGCCATTTACTTGCTTCTGTTGAGTTAAAAAAGGCCCCCTCACCTCATGCAATGGCCAACTCTGTTGGTAGCTTTCATTTCTCTGCAGTCAAAAATGACCCAAGAATGCATCTCCCTCTGACAGTGTTATCAAAACAAAACACTTTCATGGACTTCTGTAGCAATCACATGTTTTGAATTGCAAGTTCTTTCTTTCCCTTCTATTTTCATGTGGTCGAAATCCCAGAATTTCCCACAAAATAGACACAGTGGAAGAGAGAATTGGTGGTACCACTGCTCAACATCCATGCTTGTTTTTTTGTGTTTTCCCTTTCTGCTCTGCTGAGCTACCAAAGGAAGAATCACAGAATCACAGAATGGCCAGTGTTGGATGGGACCTCAAGGATCATGAATCCCAACCTCCCTGCCACATGCAGGGCCACCAACCTCCCCATTTAATACTAGACTAAGCTGCCCAGGGCCCCATCCAATCTGGCCTTCAACACCTCTAGGAATGGGGCATCTACAGTCTTTCTGGGCAGCCTGTTCCAGCACTTCGCCACTCTCTCTGTAAAGAACTCAGAATTTATGACTCGAAACATCTTAGTGCTCCCATCTGTCTTTTCTTTCATTAATTTTTTTTTTTTTTTTAAATCAGCCAGAGCTAGCTGTGGAATTTGATTTAAATTTTCAAGTCATTTCAGCTTCCTCCCACACAGCAAGTTCTCAGACCCTGAACACTTTGTTCAGCTCTGCGCCACCTCTTTTTCTCAGTTCCTTTTCTTTGGCCACCATACCAGCTTTCCACCTTTTCACCTCCCTTCCCTTTCTCCCCTTTCATTTATTATATCACCCTCAAAGGAACACAAGGGGTCTGTCACACTCAGCTATTTCTTCCCACCATGCTGTGATGAGTCTTTCATTCCTCCGACACCGTCATTCCTCCCCTGGTACTGCTCTCCCACCTGCTGGGACTGGATCTGCAGTAGGTGACCAGCTCCTTCTCAGAGCTGAAGCCAAGTTGTGAGTCAGGTTGCAGAGCAGGGAGGCTCGTCATTTCCATGTACTCATCTCTCACACTCAGAGGAATGCAACCTCCTGCATAGAGCCTGGGAATTGTTAGCACGTTTCCTGAGCTCTACAACTGAGTCATTGCCCAAAGCAACCCTTATAAGCTGCAAATTCAGGGTCAAATCATCATCTGGTGTATGTGCACCATCCTCCAGCTCCCATTAAAATGAAAGGCACCGTGCATTTATGTAAATATTCGAAACTGGTCTTCACAGTATTTTCCAAGGTCTCTCAACACAGCCTTCTTGCCTGCATATGTCCCGTGATATGCTGGGGGGAACTGCACTCCCAGTTGTAACACTCAGCACTTGCAACATGATCTACAAAACTGAATGCTCTCCCGGTATTACTGTGGTGTCTGCATCTTCTGCATCCAAGTAATTCTCCATTATTTTCCTCCTCAGTCCCACAAGCCCTCTATACATATATATATAGAAGAATATAGAAGAGAAACATTACTACCACTATTTGCCATAGGACATAACAGCTGATGTCCGCACGACTTTTTCCTGGGAGGGGGGGCATCTTAAGGCTACTTGCCAAACCACAATAAAGAGGAGGTATCCTTCTCTGCCTTTACTGCGATCCCATGAGATCTCACCAGCTTGATGACCTCCATACTTACCAAAAGACATCCCAGACACACCTGTGGCAGGGGCTGCGTACAGAGTTGATACTGAGGAGCACAGGGAACACAGTTACTTCATGTCCTTCGCTTTACAAATGATCCTCAATGCCCTGGGTAAAAAGCAACATATTTTATCAGCTTTTCAAAGCACCCCCCCAAAAGCCCAGATACTGCAAAGTGCTATGTGAAACATATCCAAATGAGATGTTACATTAAGACTGTCAATTACAAGGTTGAAAGGCTCCCTCTCTCACGGTACCAGCTACAGCAAAGCACCACATATGGTGAGTGTTTGGTAACACGTTAGCAAGTTATGGCCTCCCATCAATAAAAATACAAGATATTGTTGTCTGTGCATGGTCCAAAACAAATAATATTATCATAAAATGTGAGTCTGTTATAATGGATGTTTATTTACACAACTGCTTCAGCTGAGCAGCTCTGTGTTTAGAAACTGTCTTCAACTCCTTCTGGCAAACAACCCCAAAAGCTGCTGAACACCAAGCAGTTCAAGTCAAGCACTAATGAATCCATGAAAAAATCTGCATTGCTTACTCTAGATTGCTCAGCCTTACAGAGAGGTAAATCCCTTATCTGGGTCCTGTCAGGTCTCAGGACAAGGCTGAGCATCCCAGGGCTGGAATGCTTGCAATCCGTCTGTGCCTTCACACTGACCTGCTACCTTGAGCTGCTGCAGCCTCACAGTCTACTTACCTTCTCTTGTCTGGTGTAGGAGTACCTCATGCAGCATTGCTCCTGTGGAGCTGCCAGCGTGTTCCTCAACTCGTACCAAGACATGAAGACATTTTTGGCAGGGAGAAGCAGACCTCATAGCCTCTTGGTTCAGACTGGGAACCCTTCTGATCTTTCAATCATCCCAGAAATAGGAGCAAACACCGACAAGCTCAGCGACTACTGTGGTGAGTTTGGCTGCCCGAAAACTGCCCTCCCATTTGTCACCACTTGGTGAGACAAGCTGACCGGCAACTCCCTTTTCCCTAGGACAGGCAGATAGGAAGGTGCCAGCTTCCCAACTAAGGTTTTGTCCCATTAAAAAATGCATTCTGAAATACCTTGAACGCTTGCTCCTTCACATGTGCGAAGTCAGATTTCTTGCCCACTGTAACTGTGGCTACAGAGGTTGGGCCAAATATATTATCAAAATATCTTTCTCTTTTGGAAACCTGAACAAGTCTATTAGTATAGCTCCTCCATGTGGCTTTAAAATTCTCCCAGCCAAGATATAGTTTTATCTAAGGTGGGAAGCCTCATGCCTATTAGTCTCCTGCCCTCTCATACAGGCACAGAACACATTCCTGGAGGATGACATACTCAGTAGACCAAGAGGAAATAAACCCCAGCTGCAAAGCTTGGTCCAGAGATCAACTTTTCCAGAAGGCTGAGAACGACTGGGCTCAGCCTACTCATGTAAAGCCAGCTGAAAAGCCTAGATAAAATGTTACATGTCAACTACCACAGTAAATGAGCCTAATTAGTTTATTTCAAACCTTCAAGTTCAGCCTGCTGTTATACCCTTTGAAACACAAAACTTCAACACAGCTTCTAGCAGAACTGGGTCACTGTGTAAACGGCCTTTGGGCCCTCTAGTGCCAAAACTCAGAAACTCTCTTTATTGGCAGTTTCAGTGCAGGGTTGAGAGGAAAATAAGACCGTGAGGAAGCCGACAGAAAGTCTGCCCCAATCATGCACGAGCTTGGATCATTTACCTTCCTTGCACCAAATTGTGGCATGAAGACAAAAAGTTTTCTGTCAATCATTAAGCCCTAAGAGGACTCATCCTGTTGCTGGCAGCACTGTCCACCAGGACATTACTTAGAAATGTGAGTACAAATATAAGTCCTTGCATTTCATTGCAGGAAGTGAGAGATACCCAGAATCAGGAAACAGCCATCCAACAGCAGGGCTCAGGAAGTTGTCGAACAATAGGAACAAGGAAAATGAGTTCAGAGAAGGTGGTGGCATGGCCGAAAGACAGGCTTTTCCACCAAAGGATTCTGCAGCCAGAAAGGTGAGTGATAAACCTGGCGCCAGGCTCTGGGTGAGATCTGTGCGGGAAGTAGGGAGTTCTGCTCAGGCAAATGCAAAGTCAGGCGCTGGGAGAACAAGCCCACACTGCCTGCTTTCCACCAGGGCTGGGGCATGCAGGAAAGCGTGCTCCGTATGCTTCTGGTCCCAGCCTCAAACAAAGATCGTATGCCAACATGGCTAGAAGGACACAGAGCAGGTACCCAGTGTGTACCAACCCCAAAGAGTTTGATGCATGAAGTCAGTTCTAAGCACCTTCACTAATACTGCCAGCGAGATTAAAGCAAGCACATGTTCATTACTGCAAATAACAATTTCAGTGGGTCAGCCTGTAGCTTATTGCCAGACTGGCAGCATATCAGTGTAATAATCAGACCTCAAAGCTTGTTTTAGGGAAGCCCTATCACTGAATTCCAAGGAAGCTGCAACGAATGGTTTTCCTCTCTCTCTCTCTCCCATTGTTTGTGGCTGCCTCAGCACTTTACTGTTCCAAGGGGGATCAGAAGTGCTGAAATACCAGTGCAGAGGCTCTAATCAGAGAATTCCCAGCCCCACAGGAAGGAGGAAGGAGTAAGTCTCTCACGGGAAAGACTTTCTCATGAAATTTCCACGTAAAGTTGCAAATTGGTTGCAAACATTTGCATGAACTCCATAAACACTGTCAAGAAAATATCCTGAAAGATGCTCAGTGCTGCAGCTCGTGTCTAGCAAAGTTCTGGCTATGAACATTATTAAAGTGCATGGGAAGTCCTGATTACTTATTTCACAGCACAGCAGAACTGAGATCCACACTTCTTAAACTGAATCCTAGCGCAGTCTTCCTACACCGCATCTTAGTATAGTCACTCCTATATTTGGTACTGCAGACCTTTACCTTCTACAGCTGCAGGAGCTGTATGGGAATCCTGCCACACCATTCCAGATGCAAGAGGTATGTGAACTGGCAGTCTGAATAAAAAAGAGAGGCAAAAAGAAAAGGAAAGAAGGGATTACCATCCATATATAAAAGGCAGAACCACAAAGAGATTAAGGGGTATGAGTGAAGTCAGGGCAGAGATGAGAAGAGAGTCCAGCTTGTTCCCACCTCTCTGAGATGGTCTCACTGTCACAGTACTTACAAGTCTATTTTTCTTTGCTTTTAGGGTCTGGAGACCAGCAAGAACTGTTCGGTAAGTACTGCTTTGTGGAATATATTTTGCTTGTGTCTGCACTGCCATGGACCTAGCTCCCAAAGCACACAGTATTTTACATAGAAAAAGAGATTCGCTGACCCCCGAGGATTTTTGCCAAAGTAACAGACCACATATGCTATTTTTATGACTTACTGCATTTGTTCCATTGTTCTCCCACTCCCACAATAGGCAATAGCTAGCTAGGAACAGGCAACTGCTCAGCCTTTGTGGCATTAACAGCGCTGGCTCTTCTGGGACACCTCTGGCACAGCCAGGGGCTGCCTTCCCACAGTGCAGAGCTGCCGAGGCCTTCAGAAGTCTGCTGCAGCACACATTAATCCTAGTAAGAAACACAAAGGTTTGATATTTCCATGAGTAAACAGTCTCTTACAGGCAATTACCTCAATAGCACAGAAAACGCTGCAGTTTTCAGCTGAGCCCATGACCTCATCTGAAGTTTTGAAGTGGAAATTTAGCAGAGCTTCAAGAATTACTGCAGTAGGTTCTGCTTTGGCAGCTGCCAGGTCATGCTGCCAAGATGGCCCAGGATCACGGAGCTGTGCTGGAGCACATGCTCCACTGGTGGCACTGTGGGATGGCAGCTCAGGACAAGGCCCAAAACATGGCAGTGGTTCTGAGAATTTCAACAAAATAGGCATCAGCAACATTTCTACCCCTGGACATGATTTTTTCCCTCTGCTCCCAAGGTTTTCCAGCCTTTATTTTAGGAAATTTAAAACAACATAGGAAAAAAAAAATATTGAACATTTTTTATACCTTTTTCTTCCAAGTTAGTAAGTCCATCCTAAGACAGCAAACATTAGGGAGGACCTCATGAGACTCCGTGACCTGATAATCACCATTAGCATTTCAAATGAAAGCACTCAACAGCTGCAGCCTGTGAATGTGACAGAGAGACAAAGGCTTGGTGCCTTCTAATTCATGGCCCCAAAAAATGACACCTTGAGAAGGGCTGATACCAATGCACCTGGCCTAATAAAAAGGCAAAGAGAGTCAAGCTGCTTTTCTGGGTAGTTTGCTGTGTAAAGTCCCCCTCCGCACCCCTGCAGTGGGTGCAGGTAAGTCGTAGAAAAACAAACCACTTCTCTTTTCCTTTAGTACAGTGTAACAATGAGGTGCAACGCGGCTTTAGGCAGCTACTCAGCACTCACCAGGGAAGTGCTAGGTTTAACTAAAACCAAGGCTTTTCCTATGTGTCCAAAATACAGCAGCACAAAACAGTTAGCACTGTATGCACTGGTGAACTGCGCAGCTGTGGCGGAGCCACAGACCTGTATGAGTTCCTTACCCCTTTATCTTGGGATGTATTATGAGTGGGGGAGCTCCCTTCTTCCCACCAACCTACAGTACGCCAAAGTATCATATGCTGGCCAGATGAGGTCTGCCAGCAATCAACCTCTGGTCCCAGTTACAGCTTCTTTTTCTCCCTAGGGTGAGAGCCATGCGTGGGGGAGAATGAGAGATCTTATGAGGAAGACAAGGCTGAGAAACCAAAGCAAGCTGGGGCTGTCCTCTGCTGCTCTGAAGAGGTCCTGCCCACAGTTGTACAGGTAGGGCAAAGCTGCGGGAGGGTTTCACTTAGTGCTGGTGCAGCTGGTGGTGACAAGAACATTTTTCTGAGTGAAGACCCTCCTTACCTTCTTTCTTGTATAAGAGCGTCCTGGCCAGCACAGCCCTTTGCCCAGGTGCTCTAAGATCCCCACTGGACAATGTTACCTATGTGAAAATAACAAAAATATTGGGGTCCCTAAGGAGGTGCCTACATAGTCATCACTAGCAAGGGTCACTCCAGTGACTAACTACTACATCTATTAAGAGATCTGTGCTGGTCCCTCAGGTGAGTTTGCCAGGTAGGCTACAGCCTGCTGTCTGAGCTGCAGCACTCTCTATGCAAGGTGATAACAGCATCCATTGCACAAATCCTCTCTGCATGCCTGTCAAGTACTCCCAGCTGGTCTGGTGGATTTGTGATGTTTGCATCTATAAGCAGGTAACAGGAAGAGCCTGGGTATCTTACCAAAGCAGGAGAATTACATGGAACTGGGCACCTCCCTGTGTTTTTTCAGCTGAGGTTTTGGTAACCTCGAGGGGAACAGCTTGGATGTGCTTAAGCCCTCCTTGGGTTTTCAGAGGGGCAAAGATAGGGAAACAGCAGTTGTTTAACCACTCAGGAACATCCCATTGTTCCCTCTGATAGCCTGTACCTACCTTACAAGATGCACAAGGAAACTGGAAATCTTGTAATTACAGCTGGAGAAAACCCTCTGTAGTTCATGGACTGATTTTTCCAGCTGGGAGAAGCTTAGCTGGGGCCCAAACACATGGTAACAGGCAAGCTTCCTCCTATTGTTTGTGAAACTGAAAGGACTACAAACAGAAAGAGATCAAACAGTTCCATCTAAAATAGATGGCGAACCAGCTGGGGAAAACATACAAACTCTTGTGAACCTGCCCTCTAAAACTGAAAAAAATGAGACCCCATGCAGGCTTCAGAAAAGTGCTGTCTCTGCCACCCCCCACAGCCTTTTCTGTGCAGCACTGAAGATGCTGCCAGCACTCCCTGGGTTAGAATTACAGCCTAAGTAAATTCATTTTCTTCTACTGAAAGGCCATCCCAACTGCTCCTAAAAGAGCTACTTTTGCATGCATATAGGACAACTAAAACACATAGAAAGGCTGCAGAATGAGATGCCAAAGGGATGACTTTTACCTGACTGAAAATGGGCAGCTCCAGAAACCTGGCATGCTGATTTTCCCAGGCTGCTTCCCATAGCTGGTAAATAAACAGCTTTCTCTAACATATGGGCATAGACACTTCGCACATGTCCCATGCCCCTGAAGTCTTTCCATTCCCTCTTCTCCTGCTTTCCAACTTTGTTCACTTGCCCTATCCCTGTTTGCTCTCACCCTCTCTAGCACACATCCTGCAATAGCAATGCATTGACGTTTGTTTTTTGCTGAGGCTTAGAAAGCTGGGAACGGTGCTCTTGGGCATTTTAAGTACCTACTACCCTCAGGCTCATTTAAAATAAGGCACTGAGCCTCAGTAAATCAGCGACAGCTCTGCAAATGCTGCTGGACAGAAAGTCGGGCCCGTCCTGCAGCAGTACCATGATAACAAAGCAAAGCAACATAAGCACTGAAACCCTGATAGTCTCAGCATTTAAAGCCACTGCCTTTGTCACAATTTATGAAACATGTTTGTCCTGGCACTTGATCCTGTTTGTGCATGCAGGCACACAGAATTGGCTGTCTTTTGCTTACCCAGGCTTCCTTGGGCTCAGAGGCATCTCCCAAGGTCTTGAACTGGAGCAGGCTGTAGCCTGGTGTCCCACAGTTAACACATAGCTCTGAAGGAAGCACAGATTTGTTGCCTTTGACACTCAGGCCCACTTGAGTCATTCAGGCAATTAGGGAAAGTCTGTTTGTTTTCGTTTTTGTAACTAGGTCAAAGCAAGTCGCCTTTCATGCTCCCACTGTTTATGATGAATGATCTGCTTCAGGGCGGTGGCTCTGTTTTTCTTTTGTCTGTTTTTTTTTTTTTCTTTTCTTTTTTTTTAAAAGTCCGCAAAAGAATTCTCACAGTAGTGAGAGAACTTGGTTCTTCCAGCAGGAGAGACAGAGCCTGCCAAGGTAAACACACTGGCACAAGACTTGGTGGTTTATCATATATTGTTCCAGCCAGGCTTAGGTTTTCATTTCATTTTCTGTTTCCTAGTAGCACTTTCACTCCTGCAAAGTCTGTTTTTCTTAGAGGGCCAGAAGAGGTTGATAGACGACTTGGTCATGGAGTTGTGAATTTAACAGCATATGGACCTGAGCCTGACACATAGCAGAAAAGTAGATTTCTCCCTCAAATCCTTGCAGAAAGTGCTCTCCACAAAGAGCAAGGAACTTCCTTCCAGCTCAAATGATCCCTAAGACAAGAACTCTCTGTCTTTGCACTGTGAACTGGTTTCAGTGACAGAAGACTGTTCTCAAGTGACAGTCTGGCATCAGAAGGTCAAATATTTGCCCTGAATAAATAATTGCAGACTGACACTGACTGGAGAGAATCCAGCTGGGCTGTAAGTTCCGCGGGAGCCCACCTTGAAAAATTTATTGCCACTCCATCTGACATTATGAAGTACATGTGGAACTGCCTCTAGCTAGATTGACATTCCTACCAGTCCCCAGAAACCCAGGAACAAGTAGGAGCACATAAGTGCCTCTGAGATATTTTTCCCTTATTTTCCCCAGCACTATTTTTGTACACGGGAGACTTTTAATCCCTTGCTTCTCGCCCTTACTGCAGCTGAGAAGTAGTCCCAGCCATTTCCACAAAAGCCATTCAGCTCAGGAGCTTTACTGATGCTATCTGAAATCCCTTCCTAGGGCAGGCTCAAATATGGGAAACTTCAGATAATCCCAGCCTGGTACTCCTGTTGAGACACATCCACCTATTTATCTACAGGCGTTGCAGCTCTAAGGTAGCTATGTGGGCTTGAGCTAACCTCAAGTCATGATATCTTTTGTGGGCAAGGACATTAGTTTCGATCTGACAGCCACTGAAAGCTTACATCTGTATGACAGCTACTTGGTGATTAGGGTGAAGTAAGCTAGGAAGTACAGTGCCACACCAATATGCCAAAGCCCCTGTCCAGAACAGCCTTGTGCAATGACTGAAATCCCATGATCCAGAGCTTGCAGGCCTGGGTCTGAGTTGCACTCTTAAGGAAAGTTACTCCCGTGGGAGCAGAGGCAGCCAAAAAACTAAAGCAGCAAGGCTTAAATTCAGCCATTTCACTGCAAAATACTTAAGAATTAATGAAACAGAAATCCTACAACATTTAGGAAGAAAAAAAATCAGTAGCTAGAAAATAGAAATCAGCGTCATATCAGTCATGGCTTGATTTGAACAGTTCTTCAAATCAAAGATAGCAATGAGCTATTTGCTATACATTTGAATTGCTTCAAAATGTTGCATTTAATAAAAAAAAAAAAAAACCAAAAAACACAACATACATCTTCACTTTCTCAAACAGCAACTATTTTTAGAAAGTGTTCCAAAAGATTTTTCTTTCCCAAGTCCTGGAGGCCTGTGCCATTACAACCAAACAGAATGCATGGCACTTATTGCATTGGGAAGCAATAAGGAACAACTGCAAAGCTGGAGACAGCCTAAGCAGTGAGCTTAGTCCTGTTCCTTCCAATTCTTCACCTCCTACTGAAGACCAGAAGCATTTGAGCCTGTGACAGTGAGCCACCAATCTCTCCCTCTTTGCAACATCACACCCAATTATGCATTTTGTAGTGTTTTGGGTTTCTCTTGGATGCTCCCACAAGTATTTAGCCAGCATGTGGATTGGAATTCTGGACTGGCAAGGGGAAGAGCATTGGGTGCTGTTTGGATGGTGGGTACATATGCACAGCTAAAAAAAACACCATGCATGCTGACTGCTGTCAACTTTAATTGTATTTTTCTTTTTATTTAGGCCCGATATTATGTCTTCAGAGCTGAGGAAAGCTGAGAGAACTGAGAGGAACTCCATGATTGTTTTGGGGCAAAATACAAAGAATGAAAACATATGGCCTTTCTGATAACTCAAGTTAAAGGGGACAAGGTAAAGTAAGTAAAACTTTTCCACTCAGCACAGAAATTATGCAATTCTGTTCCCTCATCCAGACACGCTCCAACAGGCACAGAGCAGATTCTTGAAGTTCAAATTGTATGGATTTATGCCAACTGAAGACCAGCCCATATGCCTTTGAATTAGTTGACACACTCTGCCCCCTCCTCTTATAAGAAGAAAAAAAAAGAACAGTTAATTTTAGGCAATTATAGCCATTTAGCCTGCATTACACAGGCATTCTGCATTCAGTGCAGAAAGAAACGCAGCAGCAAGTTCAGTTATCTGCAGTCTTAGTCAAATATTCCCAAATAATAAAGTGAACATATATTGGGAAACAAGCTGCACCTGATAAAAACTAAAAGTGAAACAGACTCAGCCACTGGGTAAATGCAGAACAACTCTTTCTAGTCCCTCACGTTCACCACATGTTTTTGTTTCAGGAAGGAGAAATGGGAACAGTGGCAGACACAAAATGGAAGAGCCCAGGGGTGCTTTGTGCAGCTCTGTGTACCCAGCATCCTCCAACTGTTGGCAAAGCAACTCTGATTTGTATGTTGGAAGGAAAAGAAGGAAAGGGGAGGAGGATAATGGTCTGTGGACAGATGCATACTCAGTTACCTATGGCTTTGCTCCTGAACCTGCCACATACTCACAAGCCAAAGAAGAAGAAACTTGCAGCCAACACCTTGGTACCATAACCAGGAGAGGCTTTTAAATGAGACTTGATAATTAATTCTTCCTCCTACCTGTGCTAGGAACAGTACTACCTGAATCACCAAAGCTTTTAAATTATCACTGCTTCCTGGGGACCTCTTACAGCTGAAATGAACTTCAGCCTCACAGTGGCCAGAGGAGCACTATATGCAGAGATGGCCATGGCCTGCACTCCTCCCTCAGGCCAGGGGCTGCAGGCTGCTTGCCCTCAGCACACTCCTCCCTTCCCAGCAGCACCTTACCAGCTATGCAGTTTTAATCAAATACAACAGGAACAAAAGTCCATAAAGCCAAACTCTCCCCCAAGGCCATTCAGAAACCCACCACCACCTGCACCTTTTGCAAACACTCCTTGATTTCAGTGCCATCCTAACACAGAAGTCAACATGATGAATGGCACTGCAAGAATTGACCATTAGAGAGTCGGGAGGGTACATCCATGGCAGCATCTCAGCCATCCAGCAGCCTAGCTCTCTGTCAGGCTGTGCTGTCCACCTTCTGGAAGAGCAGGGCTGCAAGGATGAGTTACTCACACACATCCTCTATATTCTGTATCTAGGACTGTTCTTTTAGATCTCTTAGGTTTTGAGGTTTTTTTTTTTTTTAATGCTGGTGCCTTATTGCCACATCTCCAAAGAGCTCAGAGAATTGACAGCATCTGCTTCTGAAGGTGCTGCAGCTGCCGCAGTGGTCTACCCTTAGGAACTGAGATTTCAGAAGATGACAGTAACATGCCAACTTCAGCAGGTTTAGCCTTTCAGCAGCAGGTGCTTCCCTTTTGCTCATGCACAGCAGTTGGAGCCCTCCAAGGCAGAGCAGGATCTCTTCTTCTGAGATTCTCTGAGCCCAGTTCTAGCAGCAACACAAAGCAAAGAGTTGTTGCTCACTAGAACAACAGATCATGTTTACTCAGTGCAAGTATAATTTGCAGGTGAAGGTCAGTGTAGCTGCTGTTATTTAGCATCTAAAAAAAAAAAAGTTTGTGCTGACTCAGAGTTAGTACCCTGAAGTAGATGCTGTGTTTAATATTTCAGTTGTCATTAATTACAGCTGCTGTTGTAACACTTGGTTATTCACTGTATATTTTGCTAGCTTCATCCAAAGCTAGAGATATTTATGACTTGATTATTCTGTGAATAGTCTGTATATCTCCATAAATCCCAGGGGCTAAAAATCCTGCCTCAGCTTACACCCTCCACCCATACAGACACTATGAGGAATACGAATCAGTGTAGAACTGGACTTGAAGTGTTTCAGGAAAGTCATGAACTGGTGTTTTCCCATCCCCTACTCTCCTCACATTATAGGTGTTATGGTTTTTAAAATTAAGATGAACTAGCACTCTTTTTATTACTGCATTATATGAAATATATTCATGTATTTTCAAAACTATATTTATAACCTGTAACATACTGTATAGTTTGCCACTTTTAGATATGCTTGTACTACAACTTAATAAGTTTAATAATAAAATCATCACTTATGAAATAACTGGTTTCAGATCTCTTACTAATGAAAACTAGGGGTGGAGTACAGTTACTGCTGGCACATTTTTTCAGGTAAACACAGCTCACCAAGAAAGGAAGTGTTACCTCTGGGCTTCCAACACCTTCAGCTCCTACAAAGCAGCAGTTGGTCCTTTAGAGAGTCTGTTGCTTTTTCCCAACAGGCACAGCTGGGAGAGGTTGGTTTGAGCAGCTCCATCGTAGAGAACTGCACTGGGCTTCATACCCACAGCTACAGGCAGGCACAGCAGAGCAGCACTCAGCACTGCCACAGAGAAGAGGAAAAACACCCAGGACAAGGAACACAGGTGCTCAGGACCAGTGTTTCTGGAAATCTAGATTTAGCAGCAGTGCTGCTCAATTGCCCTGTGTCCTTGACTGACTGGAGTCTGGCGTTTTAGGGGTTTTGGTACCCCACAGAATACCCCCGAGCTCGGCACTGGCCCTGAAGCTGCTTGCAGACAGCCGGGCGCCGACAGAGCACGGCCATAGCACGCGTCAATGCCCCTCCAGCCCCCGGGCTTGCTTCCAGAGAGCTTCCAGTCTCGTACAGCCCCTAAGCACCTTCTCACCCAGAGCTCCCAGCCTCATCAAGCTGATTGTTGGCTTCAATACGCACGCATCAGCCCGCGGAGGGCAGCATCGAGCCCCTGGCCGGGCCCCGACGGCCGCACCCCCGCCCCGCACGGGACGCTCCCGCAGCCTTCAGCTATCGGCCTGCACGCACGATAAAGAGCGGAGCTGGAGGACAGCTTCTGATCTACTGAGGTGTGGTCAGCATTAATCCTCTCGTTGCCCTATAATAACGCAGGCTGCTAAAGACAGGTCAGAAGGCAGACAAATTCATGCCCTGCATTCCCAGATAAGCTGCACGCATACCATTTAGCTGCAACAGGCACTCCCTTAAGGGAGGCATTAGACTTTCAGCTGATAATGGCTCCAGCCAGAGAAGTCTTTGCATGATAGGGCAGAAGGCATCACCTGCTCCTGTCCTGAACACAAGACAACTAAGTACTGCTTATCCTGTCCTGGAGGTAGCAGGAAAGAGCAGCACAGCCTCAACTGAGCTGGTGTTCTTGGGGGCAATGGGAGATTCCCAGCTCCTCTTTATAGCCACATGCTACCCTACATACCCCAAAGAGACAGCAGATGAAAAAATACCTTGACTGGTTTTGTTGCTCTTGAGCTTAGTGTTTGAGAGAAGCCAAGATCGTTCTTTTGTTTTTTTTTTTTTTTTTTTTTTTATAAAAAAAAAAAAAAAAAGAAAAAGATATCTGAAAGAAATGCAGACCCCACCCTGCATCACTCCTAGCTCAGCCTACAGATTCCCAAGACAGGGCAGAGGCTCCTTCTTGACATCAGCATAGTTGCACCAATCCCATGGCAGAACAGACAGACAGCAAGATCAGTTTAGATAAATGGCATTTGGAGAACAGCCACCAGGATCAGTTGTCTTGCAAAAAAAAAAAAAAAAAAAAAAACAGAAAAAAAAAAAAAACCCAAAACAGTGCCAAGGCTTACTCTTGTTCCACTCCTGCTCTGGATGAGGGAGAAGGCATCCCAGAGACTTAATGTGTTTGGGAACCACTTTATTGCAAAACAGGTGCCTGTAATGAGATCACTTTCTCCACCACAGCACAGCAGCCACCAACACCACGCTCAGCACTGCCCCAGCAGCCACAGCAGCAAAACCCAGAGCCCAAGGGGCTGCAGCTGCTCCTGTAGAGGAGAGAAGCTCCGGTTAGAACCAGGCTGGGAAAGTACTGGTCCATACTCCTACTGAGTTGCACACTTACTGAAGTCATCCACATCAGCTACTTGTCTTAGCTCATCCTGCAGGAAAATAACAGGGCCTTTGCTGGAAACACGGGAGGCACTGTCCTTAAGGGTATACTCAGCACTTCTTTTACCTCCTGTGGAACGGCAAGAGAGTTGTAGGTTACAAAGATGCCTAGTCTTCATGGTCAGGAGGCTTTGGCCACCTTCTCAACCCTCAGACAAGCCTGCCATGGATTAGAACAGAGAGAGGAGCCTACAGTGACCCTTGCATTTCTGTCAGGGAGGCAAGAGCCTTGCCTTAGAGGAAAGGAGCAGGAAATGCCTGCCAGTCTGTACTAAGGAACAGCATGTGCACCTGCCCACTGGCTGGGAGACCAGAGCCCTGCTGCCCCTTGAGATGCAGCAAGGCAAAGACACTTACTGGCTCTAGCAGGACAAGTGTTGGTGCAGGACTCTTGCACAGATTGGTGGCACACTGAGGCACTGCAGTGCAGGTATACCTAAAGAGAAGGCAACACAGAACTGAATTGCTCACTATCTACAGACAAATTATATCCTGCTGTGGTACATTGAACCTGTCCAACATAGCAGCTTTGATACTTTATCCACATGGACTTCGAACTACATCAGATCTGGCATTACAGCACATCTCCCAGACTCCTAGAATTAGGTCAGTTGAGTAAGCACTGCCTAAGTACACAGCTGGGACTAGTTTGGAGTATTGATTGATTCAGGAGCACTGAACAGACAGCACAGGAAATAATAAAGTTCATCACTGAAGTGCTCAGTAATTCACAAGATTCATAGTCCAGAAAGCTACTTCCAAGTCATTTTAGCCATGAAGTTTACAAATTTGATCTGTATAGTTGGACCACATGCACTAAACTATTTCAACACATCCTGGGCAGCAAGCTAGCACTTACGTAATCTGCTATTCCAGTAATCTCATTTTCCATCATGTTCCTCCACTGATACATTGCCTATACTCAAAATCATCTCGGGGAAGACATGAGACCACTTAATGTGTGAGCAATAAGAACCAATTCAAGAGGAACCCAGGGAACAAGGCAGGCTGCTTACCAGCCCGGAAAGCAGCTCCTGGGATGCAGAGTCCACAAAGGTAAACGTGTAGAGGGTGAAGCGCTGATAATGTGATGGAAACAGTAATCCTGAGGCAGTACTAAGAGGTACCAGCTGTGTCTGATAGTTGTCTCCTGAATAAGGGCACCTGATAAAGAGGCCAGAAGTTAATGAGTGCAAGTCATTCCCCCACATCCAAAGTTGTTTACAAGCCACTTACCCATTCACCAGGACAGGCCACTGTGTCTGTTGATAAGGATTTATACTTGGTGTGGCCCAGCAGTGGTGCAGTAGTAGAACCAGGTCAGGGTCTGTCCTCTGAAGGATCCTAACTTCTATGTAAATAGGGTCTCTTAGAGCCTTCACAATGGGATAGTCAGTGCCAGTGTAGTAGGAACTATATTGTTCATCTGGGTGAGAAAAAAGGGCTATTTTAGAGCAGGAATAAACAGGTAGAGAAACTGAGAGCATCCTTCATAGCTGTGCCATCAAGTCTTCAGAGTGGCAGAGAAGCAGTAATAGGATTCACTCCCTTATTACCCAGCAGAGAACAGATCCCCACACCAAGAAGCCAGACCAAGTCCTGTAGACCTCTCACACCTGAGGCAATACGCAGCTCCAAGGACAGAGGACCAGGCTGGGAGACAGCAGGGAGCGGTGGCAGTGTGAAGACCTGAACACTCAAGGGGACAAAACTCCCAGTGATGGCATAACTACAGCGGACATGTAACCTGGTGGGACAAGAACACTGGGTCAGGCAGATAGGTACTCTGGCATTGCCTAGCTTTTCCTCAAGATCACAAACTGGTATCTGCCTTAATTATATCTCCAGAGTATCCTCCAGTTCTTCTTCATAATTAGTCAAAATTCTCTTCAGAGTTAAAATTCGAGTCCACAGGGTGGCATTGATCAGCACCAGTTTTATTCCCTTTAATTGGAGGCATGCCAGTCCCTAGCCTACTCAGGTGACTGCTGTACATTCCGAACTTGTGTGCATGTTCTCTGGACAAGTTCCTGCTTGTTACAGCAGTGCCTGCCCCAGGGTATTACCTGAAAGTGCTGTCCCTAGTGATAGAACCAAGGCTCCCCATATTCACATCCCTGGATGCCACCAACTCATTCTCATATATGGCATGGTCTCCAGTCACCTGCAATGACAGGACAGACATTTTTGCTGCACAGAAGTCAGGCTGGAGAACAATGGTTAGCTTCTGGAAATCCATAGGGTGCCCAATGCATAGTCAAAGCCACATCCGGTTGTTCCAGATCAGCATGCTTCAGTTAGTTCAGCTGCAACTCTCACCTGAAAAGTAGTGCCACAGGCAGAGAGTGGGAACTGGTACACAACAAAGGCATTGTTTTTCATTACAGGGATGCAGCCAGCACTGCGCCCACTGGCTAGATGCACAGAGTCCAGGATAACAGGTGGCAGGGTCACATCTCGAGAGACAGCAATGGAAAACTGTCCATCTGGTGTGCAGTGTGCTGTCACTGGGGGAGAGAAAAAGAGTCAGTTGTAGGTCCAAGGAGAAACAGCCTCAAACACAGTACAGAGAAGAGCAGCAAGACCTTCTTGTAACTCCCACAGCATATGCTGAGTAAAGCAAGGTAGAAATGCTGGTACAAGTGCTACCAGCACTGGATACTCTCAGCAATACTGATTCTAGCCATAAACCCAAGCCTGTTGCAATACTTATTATTGGTTGAATACATTAATGAGTTTCCTTGACAACCAGAACCACAGCCCTAAACCACCTGCATGACTGGTACACCAATCCTCTGCCAGGGAAAGCAGGTACTCCAGCCAGATGTTGCATCAGAGGGGAGGATGGCCATTCACACTCACCTGTGTTACCATAATAGCAAGTCTTGACTTTGTCCCTAGGGTTGTAACAACAGCCTCGCACTTCACAGTCTCCCTGGCTGATGGGTAAAGAGGCACAGGGCAGCCGGTCCTGGCTGTGGACAGCAGAACAGACACCACTGCTAGGAGCATCCAGTGCTGCAAGGAACAGGAGAATCTTGCAGCAAGAGCACAGTAGCAGAGGATCAAGGGCACAAGGAACACTAGTTTGATTTTGCATACAAGTCAAGGGAAGTCTTACGGACTCAGGTGAGGGTCAAACATGCCTCAGAGCACACATAGAAGCCTGCTGACAAGCAAGTACCCAGAAAACCAGGGCTCTCTGCACTGACATTCTCCAAGATGTCACCTGTGCAGATAAAAGCTACCTCTCCAAACCTACAGGAGGTCTAGCAACAGGCACCTGCAAGAAAAGGTATTCATGGCAACAGGCAGCATACTTCTTCAGGAGTGGTCAGTCTTACCAGGAAGGTCTGCAGGGCACATAAACAGCTTCTCTTCATGAAGAACCTTTTGTCCAGCAGCATCTGTCCCTTCCAGCCCAACAATTATAAAGTAATTGCCATCCTGGGAGAGAGCCATACATAA